GTTCTTGTTATTATTTCAATAATAAATTTGCACCATCCGGCTTGAATGCTAAGTTCATAATTAGCAATTTGAGGACGTTTAACTGGAATCGTTTTTATATCTCATACTTACACACTCTATTAGTACATCATTTTAAGTTTATTTATTGAATCAATTTTTTTAATTGATTAATTAATTTTTATGTTAAGGATAAAGATATGCTCTGGCATCTCCACTTTGAAAAGAAGCGCAAACTCACATTATTTATGCTTAACTAATGAATTGACTTATTCGAGATACAAAAGACAAGTCCGTGAAACCCAAGCGGATGGTTCCATCAATGCAGTCTCTATTGATGCTTGGAATTTACATGGCACTCACAAACTAAAGGTGTTCTTAAAATTGGTAAATATGAAAGTGGACAAATTGTTCGTCTATGCAAATATATGGATCTCAAAAAAAAAATCAATTGGTCGTATCAACTTCAAAACGCAAGAAGTGACAGGCAAATGGAATTACAGTCAATTTCATAAGTAACAGACCCCAAATAGCTTTCTAAAAATCATGTGTAATGTTATAAAATTTTCCAAACAAAAGAACATTATATCTATGTCTTCTATAGACCGATAAACTTATATATCAGGAATTGTCTAAAATTCCATAACATTACACATGATTTTCAGAAAGTCCGTTATAATGCAGTTTTCGAATGCAGCAAAATTTTACGTTGAATCCGAAATTCATCAAGAATCGGTTGCATTTTATACTCGTGAATTTGATACTGTTATTATTTCTCTTGAATAATCAGTTATGATGAATCATAAAACGCGGAAAATCACGCGAAAATTGTTCGAAAAATGCTTTGCTAGACACATTATCGTTTACGCCAACGTCTAACCACCAAATCAGAAGAATTGGATGTTCATACTATCATTCAAAATGAAACTTATACGTTCAAGACTTATGAAAATAGTGCTCGGGAGATTTGTTCGATGTCAGTTGTCCTCTCTATAGTCACCTATATAGTCACTATTACAATCAGATATTTTTTTCAAATTAATTATTTATAATGATAGACTATAGTTCTTTAGAACAAATAATGTCTTAAACTAGAAAAGCAGAAATTAAATAAGCTTATGAGAAAATGAAATTTCAAAAAGAAGTTCTACAAAAATATATCATAATAACAATATTTTTTTATAACTAAATGTTTGAATATAACTTTTAATATTAGATATACACCTCTACAGTATATTACCAGAAATTGATCATGTAAAATGCTGATCCAAAGTTTAAAAAGCAATTTTATTAGCATTGTACATAATAACACAAACTTAATAATAAACAAAAAACAATTCCATTTTTTCTCTTTTTTATAATGTGTGGAAAGGAATTAATGAATGAACAAAGGAGCAAATAATCAGCACTTATCTCACTGGCATCAAAGATCTAAATCTTGCACTTAAATTCAATATTTCTCAAGCAACAGTATATGATACCATCAAATAATATAAAGAAATCAATTTTTCACATTCTGAAAAATATTCTGATTGGCCAAAAACTCTAACCAATAATAAAAGCATATATTAAAATGAGTTATTCTAAAAAATTGGTTTTTTTCACTTGGTAAAATCACAAATAAACTAAATAACAAACTTAATATTACTTACCATGCTAATATTATTTACAAATATATGAATGAAATAGGATTTGAAAGTTATACTCCAAGAAAAAAATCTCTTTTGATTTCAAATCAAGAACTTTATCAATTAAATTGATGTCAGGTGAAATATGACTAGGAAACATAATAAAAAAATATAATCTGATCTGATGAGTTTAATTTATACTTTTCAAATCAGATAGCCAGATAAAAGTATAGTAGAAATCTAATAAAGCTTATTATCAAGAATATATTAAATCTATTATTAAATCTGATAGATATTTTGGAGATATTTCAGTTAAAATGGGATTGATCCTTTAATATTAGTAAAAGAAATCATAAATTCAGATACTTATATTAATATTCTTGCTAATTATTTTGTATTCTGAACTCTTCAATATTTATATACTATATTTTAATAAGATAATATATCATGTTATATTTTAATATATATAACTTGATAAATATTAACATATAGTATTTAACTTTTGAATTGAATTGATCAAAATTCTGATCTTAATTTAATTGAATATCTATAGGATATTTTGGATCATTAGATTTGAAAAAGAAGATCATTATTTATATCAAAGCAAGAATTAATTTGTATATTACAAGAGAAATGGATAAATATTGATTTTGAAACTTTGTATAGATTAATTTTGAGTCTATCTAGATACATAAACAAAGTTATTAAAGCCAATAGCAAAAGCATATCATATTAATTTATAAAAAATTAATATAACTGTATATCTACTATTTTATTTTTCTATTTAATAATAAAAATTTCAATTTATTGAATGATCAATATTAAATTTTTGATAATATACTATAAAAGTATATAATTTGAAATATATTTCAATTTTAAAAATAATTAATCAAAAATTTCTAATAAATTAAATAAATCAAAAGAATTTTAATAAATAAAATTATATGAAAATTAATAAATCAAATAAATAATTTGGAACAAGACATCTTTGACTGACAAAATTAATTATATAATAATACTAATAACATTTTTATATTGTTACTATCAGTATCTAATTTATATAATTATATTAATTATATTAATAATAATACTAATTGCAATTAGTTACAGAAAAAGATAGATTTAATCTTGATAAAATATAAAAATATGTATTTATATCAATACTAATAACTAATAATTTGCAAAAAAAAAATAAAAACTTGCATTGGCTATTAGTATTAAAGATAAAAGAAAATTAATAAATATTAGTATATTATTATATAATAATGTTATTTTATAATTATTTTATATCTAAATTTTTATAAGTATATGACTATATAAAAAAATCATTATAAGCACACCCTTTCTATAATCATATCTTTGATGTCCCGAGAGGTGTAACTATAGAGGAAAAGACTGTATTACAATCCACCCGGAACATCTTATCAAAAGAATCAAGAGGGTTATCAGCCCAGCCTTCCAAACCAGAAAATCCAGTTAGGGAAATGGTGTTGCTGATTTTTAAAAGATTATATTTATCTTCTTCGATATCTTTTCCTCGGAAAGCAATTTCTTCTTCGACTAAATCTTGGAAGATATAATCCTTTTGTTGGGAACTTTTTAAAATCTTATATGACCACAAAATTTCAAAATTCAATTCTCAGATTTAAAAATTCATTCTACCTGTATTTTATAAAATCAAAAACAAAATTTTACCTCTGTTTTTCTTGTCAGCAGTCATCTTTGATAAGTATTATAGGCCGTGATCTTATCTGGCTGAATACGTAAGCATTCAAAAAAAAAGAAATTCATAAATAAGGGATTGAAGATTATATTTTTTCATCGAATAAAAGTTATGAAAGAGAGACGTTGGATGGCGGGCTATGTGAATAGATCTAGTTTAATATGTATGCTAGGGTTATATTATATACAGTATGTATTTTAATCTGTAATTCATCAATAATGAATACATTATCTAATCAACTAAGGAAAAATGTTTCCAGTTTTAGCATTTACGATTGTATGGTTCGTTCATAGTAAGTTAATTAATTACAGAATATACGTTAATAATAAATTCATCTTGCTTCGCCAAAAAGTATAGTCATTCCGCCACACTGAATTGGGAGAAAGGAGACGCATTCACAATGATTTTTTTTAAGTAAAGTTATGATTTTTGCCGTTTCATATAAAAATTTTTTCCTCATAATTTACAGTCTTTGGACAAAATCATTGGACCATTGCGCCACAATGGCTGATCCAAATCACGCGTTTAATGATTCATTCGAAAG